TAGTTTATTGCATGTTGGTTACCCCTCAATAAAGCTGGAAAAACCTAGCAAATAGTATTTGTTTAGTTAATTTTTTAAAACTGCTCTGTGATCTATTGACAGTCAGCCCTCAACACAAGGGTTTAGGAAAAAAAAAACAAACTGCTTTTCACCCTATCTACTTTAGAGCAAATAGTAAATAATTTCTGGTGGGACATAATATCTTCTGAATCTTTTACACTTTTTAAATACACAATGTTGTACTTAAAACAAAAAGTTGTTAAACATGTGAAGGCAGAGACACATGATTTATAATCAAGAAATAAAATAGGTAAAAGAAGCAGACCCAAAAATAACTTTCCTGTTGAGGCACTCAAAGATTTTAAAATAACCTTGATTAATCTGATAAATAAAGAAAAATGGATACTAAATGAATGAAATGAATGAAATGAATGAAAAATGGAAATTTAAATAGAATAGAATATATTAAGCAAGATTAAGATGGACATTCAAGAACATTTTTAAGTAAAATATCTGAAATTGAGAATTAAGCAGGAAAGATTAGTGAATTCAAAGGCAGGTAAATAGAGAATGGGAAAGCTGAAGTGCAAGAAGAAACAAAGGATTGAAAAAGATATAACAGAGGAATATGGGACATACTTAAAAGTTCTAATACACATGTAACTGGAGTCCAAGAAAAAGAGTAGAGTGAGAACATGGTAGAAGAAATATTTGAAGAGATAATGCCTAGGAGTTTCGAAAACTGATTAAAAGGCATCAACCAAAGAAATCAGCAAGTTGAGCAAATCCCAAGCAGGATGAATACACAAGGTACACACAAAAACACACATACACACAAAAACACAACACACACTCACACAAGACACAGAGAGAGAGAATAGCCAAACTACTGAAATCAAAGGCAATGTAAAAAATTTTAAGCCAGAAAGAGGAAAAAAAAAAACAAAAACGTAACTTTGAAAGGAGCAGCACTAAAACTAAGGGTTGACTTTTTAATAAAACTTGGAATCCAGAAGAAAACAGAACACATTTTTTAAAGGGCTAAAAAATAAAAAACTTTCAACTTAGAATTCTGTACAGTCTAAGATATAAGATATTATTCGAAAATAAAGATAAGGGCATTTTCCAGCAACAAACTCTAAGAAACGTACTCATCAGAGGACCTGAATTACAAGAAATACTAAGAAAGTTGTTCAAGCTCAGTGAAAATAATCCCATATTATAAATTCAGAACAGCTGTAAGGAGTAAGAAAAATGTAAAGGCTAAATATACTGGTAAATATGGAATAATATTGCCTATTTAAAATAATAATAACAAAAAAATGAATTTGGGACATATGTAGAAGCAAAATATTGACCAAAAGATCCAAAAGGTAAAAGATGAATACACAGATTTTACCAGTTGTAGGGTTCTTGTTTGGAATGCGGTGAAAGTGATGGTTTAAGGTGGTATGTAATAAATCAAGAAGCCATATGGTATCTCTGGAGTAACCATTAAAAATTATACTAAAATGCATAACTAAAAGGCTAAAAGGGAGGAAAATGGAATAATCAAGCTACTTTATTATTCCTTCTTTCTTGCCAGCTTTTGGATTAAAGGGAAACAGAACAGAATTAGAAAACAACAAACAGGATGGTAAACTTCAATCCAACCATGTCAGTAACAAAAGGACTAATGCACTTAAAAGACAAATTAGTGTTATGGAACACTAGTTCCAGTGCAATGGAACACTAATCAACAATGAAAAAGAATATTGTGTTGTGTGTGTGCGTGTTTCTCTCCCTCTCTCTTGCTGCTGCTGCTGAGTAAGGAATAATCAAGAGCAGTTTTTTGAGGATTAGGGGAAAAGAAAAGGGAGTTAGCAAAGAAGTGGAAAAGAACTATATCCCTCCCTCCCCCTTCTGAAGCCAGATACAGACTATTAGACAAAACAAAACTGTAGACACAAAAGGTAATTTTCAATACGAAACAAGAAATAAGAAGTACGTGTTTCCATTAGACATCATGCTGTACTGTTGCATGAATGGAAAAAAATTTTTAGCCTTCAGATTTAACTTTTAAAGAAAAAAAGAGTAAGATGGTAAAAGAGAATAGTTTCCCAAGTAGTCATACAGACATCTGTCTTCCAAAATAGATAAACCTAATTAATTCAGAATAATTTTTTCTTCAGAAATGTTTGAGTCACTAAATTTAGACAGCTATAAATCTAAGATTACAGCATCTGAGACTAAGAAATTAACCCACGCTGAGAAATTATTACTAAGCGTTAATTTCAGCAAGCACGTACTGGCAAATTTCCTCCCAGATCCGGACCCCTAGTTTCCAGATCCGCCAGGCCGGGGTCGGGGAGCGGGAGGGCTGGGACCTGGGAGGAGCTGTGGCACCGGATCCCCGACAGCGCAGGGTGGTTTTCGTCACCCGCTGCCCACGCCCGGCCGGGAGACCGCACTCCTCGGTCCGGGTCACTGCCCTCCTCAGTCCGGGTCAACGCTTGGCCCCG